GCAATCCAGTGATCGACATCATGAGCATCGACATCAATAATTTGGCTACGAAGATGTGTATCCACTAAGTCAACTATCCTGACAGGATATACCGTTTGCCTAAAGGAGTTGCTGAAGATCAGTTATAAACCGAATCTTCACGGACAAAATTGGAAATTGTTTATCGAAATTAAACTATATGCGTGAACCCGTGGATAGTTTAATGGAACAAACATTCCTCACTGAACTGGAGGATAGTTTAACGAAATACACCTGCACTTCAGAATGGATGAATGGTTTAACGAAATACACCTGCACGACAGAATGGATGAATGGTTTAACGAAATACACCTGCACGACAGAATGGATGAATGGTTTAACGAAATACACCTGCACGACAGAATGGATGAATGGTTTAACGAAATACACCTGCACGACAGAATGGATGAATGGTTTAACGAAATACACCTGCACTTCAGAATGGATGAATGGTTGAACGAAATACACCTGCACGACAGAATGGATGAATGGTTTAAGGAAATACACCTGCACGACAGAATGGATGTATGGTTTAACGAAATACACCTGCAAGACAGAATGGATGAATGGTTTAACGAAATACACCTGCACGACAGAATGGATGAATGGTTTAACGAAATACACCTGCACGACAGAATGGATGAATGGTTTAACGAAATACACCTGCACGACAGAATGGATGTATGGTTTAACGAAACACACCTGCAGGGCAGAATGGATGAATGGTTTAACGAAATACACCGGCACGACAGAATGGATGAATGGTTTAACGAAACACACCTGCACGACAGAATGGATGAATGGTTTAACGAAATACACTTAAGTGGCAGAGTGCTTGAATGGCCTGAATGCGTGACAGAATAGGTCTGATTGAACTGAATGGTTTAATGAAACAAACCTGTCTGACTGAACTGAATGGTGAATGGTTCAATGAAATAAACCTGTCTGATTGGACTAAACGGTGAATGGTTTAACCCTGAGAGCCCCACCAACACACCACGTGTGATCCCACTTACACGATGAATGCTTTGCATAAGCCACGTGTGTGTACGTGCATAGCGAGCAGTAAATATGCATCTTTTCTCGTCGACGAAACGTTGCGGTCGAGAGAATGTGTGAAGGGAAGCACCCGGCGTCGTGGCCGCAGCATGTGTAAGGCTGCCAGCATCTTCTGTACAATGTTGACATGCGAGACACCTACTACATTCCTGCACTGCAATAGTCATGGGAGGTCTTGCTCGACGACTCCGGTATATACCTGACCGCCCCTAGTCACACTATACTGAGTGAATGTGCTTCAACGCTCCCTGCTTCAGTACTGCGGTTATATCACGGCAGAAGCTCAAAGCAGAGACCATATAATAATCTATTATATGGTCTCTGCTCAAAGTAAGGCAGGTCTCAAACCTTAACCAATTTGGTGAAACCTACGACGCAGAGTGAGTGAGATCTGGGATTCTTGAGAACCATTATTGGAATCAGGTACATCTAAATAACCCAACATAGTACACTACTTGACATTTGATAGGCATATCTTCATACAGCAACAAACCCCGCGGGGGACATCCGTACAAGACACCTTCAAGCAGTCCGATCACTCGACCCTGCCGGACACTGAGAATACCCCATGGAAACGTTCACAAGTATATAACGATAAGCTCACCGTCTTGAACAAGCAATGAGTTTATTTATTTATCGGACTCCTAGGAGATACATGTCATAATCTTAACAATCATGTCCAAAGGATAAATAAACGATGTGTATTGTACACAACACGTCGACTGAATTAAACCACTCTTGTCCCCTGATCTCCTCAAATAACTCCATTACTGCACTCGGCTAGTGCAAAGCTTCTGTAGGTTTCACTCAAGGGGAAAAGATTTGCAGTGTTCGCCATGGGGCTCCGCTTGGTAAACTATTGACCATACACAAGCGTTGGAGATCGATATCATGACTCATACTGATGTAGGTGTGAGCTGTTCGGCTGCCTGAGACGCCGCGTTCCAGCAGCAACAGCAGTTATACAATGCTGAGTTGAACTCATATACAACGTTTTCGGTTATTCTATTTTTCATGAACAAATTCATTAACATTTGCTGGCCATAAAGCCATTGCCGTGTGGATGGCAGGTTTGGTTTTATGCCCACGAACTTCTGGTAAGAATCGAAACAGAAGGAATCGGGTGGCCGGATTCTGCGACTTCGTTGATTGCATAACATCGTGCCCGACGGTGTGGAACGATGATCATGACACCCATCTGTAGGCCATCCTGTTACAGCTGACATATTGCTTACTGAGGCGTAACACAACACCCTTTCACTCACACATTTAACCACGTGATGTATACATATGTAGATCAGGAACCAAGCACGAACACACGCCTGTGTTATAGGGTTGGTTTTTTGCCAACATATGTTACTGTTTGCTTTCATAGGACCACTTTATTATTATTATTTTTTAATTAAATTTATTATTAAATTTTAAATAATAATATAATAATAATAATTATAGGGTTGTTTTTGCCAACATATGTTACTGTTTGCTTTCACAGGACCACTTTAAAAACTATGAAAGGTGATATCGCGGCATAACGCGACAGGTGAATAACGTGACCGGCAATGTGGGCTCACCGCCATAATCCTGTAGTCATGCAGCCTCTGTATACGTAATTAAACTGTACCATGTTAGCCTGTTCAAATGTTCAAATGCAAATGTGAAATTGAAGATGACGTCTTGTGTGAGTTGGTCGCAAATGACTGGCAGTACCACTAGGTGCCCGCACCTCTATAATAGGCCGGCAGTGTACGTCAACTCACAAACATACACATTGTGTAAGAGAATATGAAATGTTAGGCATTGTGAAACTTGTCGATATTATTGTGGGTTAATGTTATGGGCGCCACAATAAAATGGCCTATATTGCATGTGTACTAAGAAGCGTGTAATGTACACAAGAATGTTCAGCCGTTTGGTGAGAAACAATCTCAAATAATATAATCATTATACTTGTTGGTTCGGTGGGTTTATATTAAATCAATATATTAAGCAAGTCAAATGTCCTCATGAAATAAACGGAAACTATTAGTTTCACAAAACCTCTGAACACCCAACCCGAAACTATGTGTCGTGACATGATACCCTTGTAATGTGTTTCAGTGACTGCTAGGTAGTGCGATGTATCACTGTCGCCTGGGATACAACAGTATGTTACACAGGGCCAGGTATCGAGGACGTCACTACATGCCCACCCACATACAGTGGCATCATATGTCTACATATATACTTATGTACCACGTGTCTATTTTCATATGATGTCTATCCGTATATAAGTAGGGTATAAGTAATATAAGTGTGTACACACACACACACACACACACACACACACACACACACACACACACATATATATATAAGGTCTATCCACATGCAAGTAGAGTATAAGTATATATAATACACACATAAACACACCTTGTCTATTAATGCAAAGCTTCAACACGTGTCCGTCTACATGCAGAGCAATATTCCAGCAACATCACGGCGGGGGACATCAGAAATGGGTGTCACATATTGTACCCATGTGAGGATTCGAAACCAGGTCTTCGGCGTGACGAGCCAACGCTTTGTCCACTGGGCTACCCCACCGCCCCGTGTCTATCTACAACTTGATTCAACACGTTTTTATGTACATCCAGATGAAAGACGTGTCTACCCATAACCTGATGTACATCCGGACATAACAAGTGTCTACCTATAACCAGATTTATCACTTGTTTGTCTACATCCAGATGCACTGCGTATCTAACCATAACCAGATTCAACACGTGTCAATCCACATTCAGATGTAACAAGTGACTACCTATCTCCAGATTCAACACGTGTCTATATACCTATGAATAACATGTCCGTCGATATTCAACTTCAATATATGTTCATAAACAAGTTTAAAACGTGTGATGTACGAGGTGTCTACATATACACAGCTCCAACACGTGTCTATACACGGACTTAACATGTGTGCATTCATATACAGATATATGAGGTGTCTATACATATACAGCTCAAACATGTGTCTGTACACGGTTTTAACACGTGTCCATTCATATACAGATGTACGAGATGTCTTCATATACAGATATATGGGAGGTGTCTACATATATACAGCTCAAACATGTGTCTGTACACGGTTTTAACACGTGTCCATTCATATACAGATGTACGAGATGTCTACATATACACAGCTCCAACACGTGTCTATACACGTGGCTGGGTCCATTAACGAGGTGTCTACATATATACAGTACCAACACGTCCATTCATATACAGATGTACGAGGTGTCTACATATACACAGCTCCAACACGTGTCTATACACGGATTTAAGGTGTCTACATATATGTGCATCCATATATAGATGTACGAGGTGTCTACATCCATATACAGCTCAAACATGTGTCAACACGTGTCTATACACGGGTTTAACACGTGTCCATTCATATACAGATGTATGAGGTGTCTACATGCATACATAGCCCCATATAACACGTGTCTGTACGTGTCCACAGATGTATGAGGTGTCTACATTAACACGTGTCCATTCATATACAGATGTACAGAGGTACGAGGTGTCTTCATATACACAGCTCCAACACGGGTTTAACCTGTGCATCCATCTTCAGATGTACGAGGTATCTACACATATACAGCCCCAACAGGTGTTCACTGAAACATCAAGATTATACAAATGGTCCAGGTGTTTCTACGTACATAGCTGAACCTAGTCTCACTCACATTTCGACACAATAGCATTCGCAGACTTGGCAAGTCCCTACATACATACTGATGTATTTTGGTGTATTTGGCGTGGAGCTGTAAAGACAAGACATTAGTGGTAGACATATGCATTATCAAACAGTGTGTACGTATATGTATAGGAAGATCCACCAAGCTGTGATATGGTGTCACACAACGGTGTTCAGAACCTACCGAGTGTCGGTCCGATCCCATATGTCGGGGTACATCGAAGGAGCGGTTGTGTCGGATCACAGGCCGTTCACGACGTCGTCTCTGGTTTGGGACCGACTGCGTCCTATGATGTGGTCCTCGGTTCATCTTGGATCACAGCTAGTACGGCTCTGTAGAACACGGATCCCACTGATAACGAACTGATCACTTCAACCAGGTGGATTCATGAACAAGCCCTAATCCTCAGTTAATCCACCGTCAATAATGCGCCAAACTATACAGGAAACGAATAATGAAAACTGTACCCTGGATTAGATTTTCCAGGTTAGAACACAGCCTAATACAAATGGGTCCTTGGCCTAGAATTAGCAGGTCATTCAGTTGCCACCAGTTTTTAACTTGGCAGAAAATAGATCCAGATGTTCTCGAGCAGACGACAATTCCACAACGAGGATCACGTAATGCACGAACAATGAACGCCACAATCAAATAAGAAAACACTACCAGACACTGCACAAACACTCACTGTAAACGCCAGTAACATATACAGAAGGACACTGAACACTTAGCCTTCAACACGCACTGAAAGGTGTCCATGTAATTCCTCAATCGACACCCCAATTGAACATGTAACTTTGAAATATCCGCGCCTGGTCTTCCTGCCGCGCGTCAGTATCGATTAATCGCCGAGGCCCTTCCTCAAAATAATCTAAACCCTGTCCTCACAATATCTCCGTGTAGACAGAAGTAACTCTTTATGTCCCACTTCTCAGTAAGCTCGGCTGTTTTCGTTCACAACACTGTAGTTTTGACTAGGCATGCTGTAGTGTTGCCGTCTCCGACGACGTCCATGTGAGTGTAGGTGTAAACATCACTGCGGGACTTCTGTGGAGCGAACAACACCATGCCTCCTTGTAAACGTTTCACTGTCATCAAGGAAGTACGTTTTTGTTAAGTCATTTGGCGCGTATCCCAAATCGAGCTTTTACACTGTCAGCCCAATTGTAATACAGGTCGACCGTCGTGTGAAGATTGAATTCAGGCGCTGCGGTATGGACTGTGAAGCAGTTGACTGCAGTGCCATTGAACACTGCGTAACACGAGAGAAGAGCCCGCTTGCCTCTGCAGTTGAAATCGTATGTGCATATACTTACGAGCGGAAAAGACAGATTTTCCCAAAGTCAGTCGTTGTTAATTCCTACTGAAACACTGCGACTGTTGTTGACGAGGTATTATACACGTCCGTGTTCAGATAACACAGGAGTTGAACGATTCATGCGTGTAGTATTTGTCAATTCGACGTCTGCATTGGGCAATTGAGTGGGGCCCATATAGGGAGAGATATTGTCTGCTCGGTAAATGCCGCAACTCTCAACTTCCTCAGCGAATGTTGGCGCAGTTGGATTGAGCTTGCAGTTGGAATGCTAAGGTGCACTACAAGTGTTGCAACGAACTCTCATAGGCTCAGTGAGCTCAAGATTGCAGCAGATTAGAGTGTCACAGGGAATACATCCATTGGCTGAGCAATCTATACAACGTTTCTTTCAGGTGACTAGGGATGTTAAAAGATCCTTCTTCTCAATAAACATATATGTAAATATATTACCGCTTCTGGAGGACATAACATTTAGGTTAGGTATCTGGTGACTATTTCATTTGATGGACCAAAGAAATTGATGTTTAGTGAAAACCGACCAAGATAATGTGTGATTAACGATCTAGATGGTGTATGACGAAAGCACTGGATGGTGTATGACTAAAGCACTAGAAGGTGTATGACGAAAGCACTAGATGGTGTATGACGAAAGCACTAGATGGTGTATGACGAAAGCACTAGATGGTGTATGACGAAAGCACTAGATGGTGTATGACGAAAGCACTAGATGGTGTATGACGAAAGCACTAGATGGTGTATGACGAAAGCACTAGATGGTGTATGACGAAAGCACTAGATGGTGTATGACGAAAGCACTAGATGGTGTATGACGAAAGCACTAGATGGTGTATGACGAAAGCACTAGATGGTGTATGACGAAAGCACTAGATGGTGTATGACGAAAGCACTAGATGGTGTATGACGAAAGCACTAGATGGTGTATGACGAAAGCACTAGATGGTGTATGACGAAAGCACTAGATGGTGTATGACGAAAGCACTAGATGGTGTATGACGAAAGCACTAGATGGTGTATGACGAAAGCACTAGATGGTGTATGACGAAAGCACTAAATGGTGTATGGCGAAATACATAGATGGTGTATGACTAAAGAACTAAATGATCTATCACTAAACAGGAGGACTAGATGTATGGTGACTGGAGGACTAGATGTGTGGTGACTGGAGGACTAGATGTGTGGTGACTGGAGGACTAGATGTGTGGTGACTGGAGGACTAAATGTGTGGTGACTACAGGACTTGATGTGCGGTGACTGGAGGACTAGATGTGTGGTGACTGGAGGAGTAGATGTGTGGTGACTGGAGGAGTAGATGTGTGGTGACTACAGGACTAAATGTGTGGTGACTAGATGTGTGGTGACTGGAGGACTAGATGTGTGGTGACTACAGGACTAGATGTGTGGTGACTGGAGTACTAGATGTATGGTGACTAGAGGACTATATGTGTGGTGACTACAGGACTAGATGTGTGGTGACTGGAGGACTAGAGGACTAGATGTGTGGTGACTGGTGACTAGAGGAGTAGATGTGATGGTGACTGGAGGACTAGATGTGTGTGTGTGACTGGAGGACTAGATGTGTGGTGACTACAGGACTAGATGTGTGGTGACTGGAGGGACTAGATGTGTGGTGACTACAGGACTAGATGTGTGGTGACTACAGGACAGGACTGGAGGACTAGATGTGGTGGAGACTGGAGGACTAGACTAGATGTGTGGTGACTGGAGGACTAGATGTGTGGTGACTGGAGGACTAGATGTGTGGTGACTGGAGGACTAGATGTGTGGTGACTGGAGGACTAGATGTGTGGTGACTGGAGGACTAGATGTGTGGTGACTACAGGACTAGATGTGTGGTGACTGGAGGACTAGATGTGTGGTGACTGGAGGACTAGATGTGTGGTGACTACAGGACTAGATGTGTGGTGACTGGAGGACTACAGGACTAGATGTGTGGTGACTGGAGGACTAGATGTGTGGTGACTGGAGGACAGGACTGGAGGACTAGATGTGTGGTGACTGGGAGACTAGATGTGTGGTGACTGGAGGACTAGATGTGTGGTGACTGGAGGACTAGATGTGTGGTGACTGGAGGACTAGATGTGTGGTGACTACAGGACTAGATGTGTGTGTGACTGGAGGACTAGATGTGTGGTGACTGGAGGACTAGATGTGTGGTGACTGGAGGACTAGATGTGTGGTGACTGAGGACTAGATGTGTGGTGGAGGACTAGATGTGAAGATGACTACAGGGACTAGATGTGGTGGTGACTGAGAGGACTAGATGTGTGGTGACTGGATGACTAGATGTGTGGTGACTGGAGGACTAGATGTGTGGTGACTGAGGACTAGAGTGACTAGATGTAGATGTCTGGTGTGACTGGTGACTAGGACTAGATGTGTGGTGACTGGAGGACTAGATGTGTGGTGACTGGAGGACTAGATGATGTGTGGTGACTGGAGGACTAGATGTGTGGTGACTGGAGGACTAGATGTGTGGTGACTGGAGGACTAGATGTGTGTGACTGGAGGACTAGATGATGTGGTGACTGGAGGACTAGATGTGTGGTGACTGGAGGACTAGATGTGTGGTGACTGGAGGACTGTGTGGTGACTACTGACTAGGACTAGACTAGATGTGTGGTGACTGGAGGACTAGATGTGTGGTGACTGGAGGACTAGATGTGTGGTGACTGGAGGACTAGATGTGTGGTGACTAGAGGAGGACTAGATGTGTTTGTGACTACTGGACTAGATGTGTGGTGACTGGAGGACTAGAGATGTGTAGCTGACTGACTAGGAGGACTAGATGTGTGGTGACTGGAGGACTAGATGTGTGGTGACTGGAGGACTAGATGTGTGGTGACTGGAGGACTAGATGTGTGGTGACTACAGGACTAGATGTGTGGTGACTGGAGGACTAGATGTGTGGTGACTACAGGACTAGATGTGTGGTGACTGGAGGACTAGATGTGTGGTGACTACAGGACTAGATGTGTGGTGACTACAGGACTAGATGTGTGGTGACTAGAGGACTAGATGTGTGGTGACTGGAGGACTAGATGTGACTGGTGACTAGATGGAGTGGACTAGATGTGTGGTGACTACAGGACTAGATGTGTGGTGACTGGAGGACTAGATGTGTTGTGACTACAGGACTAGATGTGTGGTGACTGGAGGACTAGATGTGTGGTGACTACAGGACTAGATGTGTGGTGACTGGAGGACTAGATGTGTGGTGACTGGAGGACTAGATGTTTGGTGACTGGAGGACTAGATGTGTGGTGACTGGAGGACTAGATGTGTGGTGACTGGAGGACTAGATGTGTTGTGACTACAGGACTAGATGTGTGGTGACTGGAGGACTAGATGTGTGGTGACTACTGGATTAGATGTGTGGTGACTGGAGGACTAGATGTGTGCTGACTACTAGACTAGATGTGTGGTGACTGGAGGACTACATGTGTGGTGACTGGATGACTAGATGTTTGGTGAGAGGTGGACTAGATATGTTGTGACTTGAGGACTAGATGTGTGGTGACTGGACGATTAGATGTCTGGTGACTAGAGCACCATATGTTTGGTGACTAGAGGACTAGATGTGTGGTGACTACATGACTAGATGTGTGGTGACTGGAGGGCTTGACGTGTGGTGACTACAGGACTAGATGTGTGGTGACTGGAGGACTAGATGTATGGTGACTGGAGGACTAGATGTGTGGTGACTGGAGGACTAGATGTATGTGAGGTGACTGAGGACTAGATGTGTGGTGACTGGAGGACTAGATGTATGGTGACTGGAGGACTAGATGTATGGTGACTGGATGACTAGATCTGTTGTGACTACAGGACTAGATGTGTGGTGACTTGAGGACCAGATGTGTGGTTAAATAATAACGTTCTGTGAACTTTGGGCAGACGTGGGGAACGTGCAGTAATCAAGTACTTTCGGAACACCAAGAGGCGTCCATGACAACATCAAGGATACATGCCCCTACCTATACCAGTGTAGAGAAGTGGGTAAACATTAAGCGAGGCAGGAGCATGTTGTTGCCAGTCCAGCGGGCATTTCTGAGCAGAGGTTAGATTCCACTGTCACAGACACTCTGGCAATGAAAAAAGTATCAGCTCGTCTGGGTTCCAAAACTTCTGACATCTGATCAAAACACACACGACACGGCGTGCTCTTTGGTTCTTGATGTCTAGCCCAGTTACAAGCTGATTCAGAAAGGTTTTGCAACGATTTGGGACAATAGGTATGGTGGGGTGGACCTAGAGCCCAAACAGAGGGAAACTCTTACATCGAAACAACTAAACAAAGGGAAGACTGGGAAGTTTGGGACATCCTAAATCCTGGAGAACCGAGTGAGTAATCATGGCGGACTATTTGATAATACACGGAGCACTTTTAAGACGGGTATAGGATGAAATTGATGGCAAGGTTTGGTTGAAAGTATACAGCGGTTTACACACATACTGTCCGATTTATTGTCATATTTACAAATCCGGATGGAATTAGCTGGGTGACACCAATGGGTAACGTTTGAATACAAACTGATCTGGGTTTGTATGTTATACCAGACGCTATGGATTAAACTATCTGTAGATTTGTGGTGTTTTTAGGGAAAAGAATAGCTGTGTTAAGCGAATAAAGATCGTTGAGATGTGTAACGTAGGTAACACACTCTAGATCTTATTGAATACATTAGCACTTAGAGGCCCTGAGATGTTGTTTAACATTTTTGATAGGCTTGGCTTAACATTTAACTTTTCAACTGTTTGGGTACAGCATACATATTTTAAAGATAACAACCTACATATATACAACAGTTTCCAAATGTGATCAATATGGATGTTGCAGGATACGTATTGTCCAAAGAGTATATGTACTGCTCAACGAGTGAGTGTATTGTTCAAGGAGTGTATGTACTGCTCAACGAGTGAGTGTATTGTTCAAGGAGGGTATGTACTGCTCAACGAGTAAGTGTATTCTTCAAGGAGTGTATGTACTGTTTAACGAGTGGGTGTATTCTTCAAGGAGTGTATGTACTGCTCAACGAGTGAGTGTATTCTTCAAGGAGTGTATGTACTGTTTAACGAGTGGGCGTGTATT